TCCTGCTGCCATACAAACAGCAGGGTGAAATTCTAGTTTTCCCGATACCTCCTTTTTAGAGTTTTTTGTTTGTTTTTTTAAAGAAAGAGTTAGCTTCCACACCCAAGCTAGCTGTGGTTCTAGAAATTCTAGAAAATGCTCACTATGGTGCTGTTTTTCAAGGCTCCAGGCAATCCTGAAGGTCTTCTGATTCAACAGATACTGACTGACTGGCAGAACCTGAAAATTCTGACAATTTGGGTTAATTTGGAGAGAGACGTGCAGGGGCAGTAAAGATTTCTAACTTCAGACTCAAAGAAGAAGTAACACAGAGAAGAAAAGCACATAAGTCCAGATTCAGACTGAAGGTTTTCTCATCCTACTGACTAGTGCATTCACTGAATTAACTCAACTCTGCATTTCCACAATATATCAGCCTGGCTAGAGCTGGGAGACAGAAGCCATAAACAGACCTGCTAGACAACCCCAGATATACAGTTCTTATCTCTCTACTCCTCGGGGGGTGAAGTGAAAGGCTGGCATTAAGTAAGAGACACAAGTCAAGAGGTGAAACGTCCAATATGGCAGCCACCAGCTACAGGTGACTACGGAGCATCTGATGTGCAGCCAGTCCAAAGTGAGATATGCTGTCAGGATAAAATACACACCACATCTCAAAGACTAAGTACCTAAAACAAGGAATGTAAAATATCTCAATGTTTTACATTGAATACAGGCTGAAGTAATATTTTAAATATATTGGGTTTAATAAAATATATAATTAAAATCAATTTCATTTGTTTCTTTAAAAAATTTTTTTAATGTGACTACTAGAAAATTTAAAAGGATAGACATGGCTCTAACAGAACTGAACATATGAAAATGCAGACTCACAAAGCAAACAACATCATTTTTCACAAGGTAACCCTGATGCACACCGAAAGAAATAAAACTGATTACTTGGCTTTCCTCTCACGGTTGATCTAATCTTGAGTAAGACTCAATGCTCTCTTGTAATGGTCTGTTTAGATAATACCAAGAAAAGAAGAAAAGCCCTACAGGGTATTGCTCAAAGCATGTGTATTAGGGTCAGGCAGACCTGGGTGTGCGTCCTATCTCTGCCGTTCACTAACTATACAACCTCAGGAAAATTAACATATTAAGATCGCTATTTTCTGTCAAAGGATATTTCCCCACGGGGCTACTGGAAGGGTTAACCTAGCAAGGGAGGTAAAGAACATGGGCACCATATCTATCTAGCACACAGCACTTCAGAATGGTAGCTAGTTTAGTGAAATTCAAGCAACATTTTCTGAGCACCCTCCAAAATAATGATGGCATAGGGAAGACGGAGGGCAACGGAGATAGGACCACTTGATTCACTGGCCTCGGAGGCTCAGTATTTATGCCGCGTGGCGCAACACTGCCCTCTAGTGTCAAAAATGTGGCAAAGCATCCAGACCATATAAAACGAGCAAGGAAGAAAAATGTAAAATTTCCTGGGCACTAAGACAGTTCTCCGGATCAGAGAGATAATATCGAAGAACAATTTTTACTCATGAGTCACCTTTAAAGCAGTGGAATGGAACTGGAAAGCAATAAGATTCCCAAGATTTATTATTAACCCAGAGATTGGCACTTTGTTTATTATACAGTTTCTCAGATAGGAAAATGGTAATTCTCTTTGGACGTATTAAATGAAACACTTAAAGAGGAGCAAGCCTGGGTGGATGCCAAGTTACTAAGATTTATTTTAGTAGGACAATACCGAACGTTTGAGTTTTGTGGACTGCTCGATTTTTGTGAAGAGTTTGTAAACTAGATTTGACCGTGTTTTGTTTAATGCAACTATCAAGGTCAAAACTTAAGGCCGAGCTGTTATACCAGCATCATTATATTTTTACTTCTCTCCTTGTAGAGCACCTAAGCCAAGATAACAGTACTCTGGGCTACTGACGAGATTAAATGAGAGAGAATAGAGAAATGCTTAGTATAGCATCAAGTGTTAGCTGCTATTATTTTTATTTTTGTTGTTTCTGTTGTTCAGACTGCCAGAGGCCCATGGAAGAAAAACTGCTTTTACTTTTTTTGGTTTGAAAACAAGGCCTACCTAATTTCATTTCCTGCTATATCTTTGAATCAAATTTATCATTTTAAAACAAGAACATCTGAACATAACTTTGATGTCCTTGAGCTTATGATACTGACTGAAGTCCAGCAATAGTTTAGAATTCAGATACTGACCTTTAATAAGGCACTAAGAGGACACTGAAATCAAAACCACCTGCAAAGGCAAGATGTGTTATCATTTTAATCATAAACCTAACATGGCCATTCTGGCCAGTCTTTATCCTCCTCCCGTCTCCTCAGTTAATTTGGATGAAAACCTCAATACTTTGAATTAAAAAGATTTTGTAATACTTTTCCTCATTTAATTTTCATTTTTATTACAGTGATCTCACGTCCAAACACTTCTTACTTGGTGACTGGCTGGGTTCATATGTGACCCCTTAAGCCAGACCCAGACAACCATGAAACATGCTTTCTGGTTCCCTGCAGTTCTTGTTTCAATATCTCAAAGCCACTTCAATATCCGGAAAAGGGAAAGAAAAAGAAAACCGATGCAAAGATACATGCTTACTGACGTCCAGGGTATGTGCTGGAGAAAAGCGGGATGAAGGTCAGTGCTGGAAACCCACAATTAAGGGTCTCAAGTGCTTCACGTGTAGAAGGAAGAATGAGGCTACACACCTTGTCATGATATGGTCCTAAGACAATCCAGCCGCAGAAGGTGTAACCCAGATAGATCATACCGGCACACGCGCAGAAGCGAAGAACTTTTGGCAGTGAGGCTTGCATTGTTAAAATGAGCACCTGAAAAAAATCAGCACAATGGGGGGGAATTAAAAAGTAGCTACTAGAGCCCAAAGAAATGGACCTCAACCCCAGTGGTGCTACCCAACAGCCACATCCTTACATTATATGCTTGGAAGTAACCCAAGTATCTGATGACGCCAACCCAGACAAAGAGCGTAGATGTTCCAAGCAAAATGCTGCACAGATCGTAATTTGTGAGATTCTAGGGAATGAAAAAACAGGCATGAGTAAAATATTCTACTCCACTCAGCTTATGACTCTCACTTTAAACTGACAGGAATGGACCGCCTGCCTCTCTACAGTGATTCTGAGAGTTTTTACACTGAAGAAGGAATTAATAGCACAATTCCAAATGTGTCCCTCATTTCCTTTTAGTATTAAGATTGGTTGAACTGAATTCTTGTGCAAATAATATCCTGAAATAGAAACTGCATTTACCACTGACCTAGGCACTAAAGCACATAAACTAATGGTGTTTGTTAAATATCAAACAATACCTTGCAGCTACTTTTGAAAGAACGCTCCAGAGTGATTTGCCAACAGTTCCTGCTCTCAAGGACTCTGAGGAGACGCGCACACAAGCGTAATTCTAACACAATACGCTGTGTGCAGTAGGAGACACAATGCCGGGCTTGTCATGGAGGGCTTCCCAAGGGCGTGACCCCAGAGCAGTGCTGGGCCTGGAGGACAGGCTAGGGGAGTCTTGCAAGCAAACGGAGAGAGGCTGAACAGGGCCCAGTGCTGAGAGCCCGCAAGACGGGCCAGAGGGGCGGCACTGAAGGGTCAGGGAGAGCGAGGGCGGGAGGGGAAGGCAATGAGGCAGCTGCAGCGATCGGGGTCAGAGAGGAAGACGGCCTGAAGGAAGCCGAAGCAGTCAGGGTGGACAAGACGGAGGTACCTCGAGGTCAGGAGGGAAGGCTGGTAAGATTTGCTAGCTGACGGCAGAGCACGGAGGAGAGAAGTCAAGACTCAGGAGACTACATCGACTAAGTTAACCAAAGAGCCAGGCGCCTAGAGGCACTCAAATATTCCTGCCCTTGCACCATCCATCAGAGCCCCCATCACTCATGGATGGGCACCTCGGCTCTTGACGTGATTGGTTCAGGGGCCAGCTGCTGCTTTTGCAACTTAAACCAACAAAGCCCGCCCAAACAACCAGTCTTCTCAAACTTCAGTTCCTATTCTGAAGATGCTGTCAAGTTTCCTAGAGGCTATTCATAGGAGTATCACCTTCCACAGAACATCCTCTTCCTCATTTTCCCTTCATGAGAAACCAAGTCAGAGGAGGCACTGCATATCTTACAGTATTTGAGACCATCCAGAAGAACAGAAAGAACAGAAGATTTACAATGGGTTGCCGCTTACCTTGGCTTTAATTTCCATTTTTAATATGGATCCAATTATTGACATTAGATCGCTGATAATCACCAGGATATACCATCTGTTGATGAACTCCCATTGGTCGGCATCACACACACATCGCTTGTACCTCTCCAGGAAGAAACTTAAGAATCTCTGCGGCAAACATTTTAAAAAGCATTTCTTACAAACCACACTGCCCTCTGGAAGAGGAAAAGCGCAAAACAGTGCTCTCGCCTGTCCAAAGACACGGCCTTGCCTTTTCCAACTTGACGGATCCTCACTTGGAGGGTGGAGATTACAGCCCACACCTGCCTCCACCATCCACCCCAGCTAGAGGTGAGCATTCCAGTTAACTAAGTGACTCAAACACTCAATGCTGTGCTCTCACTCCAACAGATTCTTGTTGAAATAGCTAACACAGAGCACATTCCAAACACTTTACATATTCTCAGCGCATTCAACCAGATGACAACCCTACAAACTAGGCACCATGGACACTTCTTTCCAGAGGAGGCAACTGAGACATGGGGCAGCCAAGCCAGGACTTGAGGGCAGGCAGTCCGGCCCCCGAGCGTGTGCTCCCAATGTGCCACCCTCGCATCGGCAGAACCCAGACCCTGGCTTTGGATTCAGAATGTCAAGCGGCTTGTGGGGTGTGGGAGGGTGGCTAAGAGAAGTGGATATTTACAAAACAAACTGACACAGGTCAAGCCCTGGAAGAACAGAATGTAGACTGCTTCCTCCCTCCACATATGGTGTTCTGATGACTTCCTATGTCCACTGACCCCAGTCTGTATTTACATACATGCGACACCCCAGAATAAGATTTGTGGTGAGCTAGAGTATATATTCACAAGAGCCCTAAAGGGTAAAAAGGTAAAATGAAACTCAGGGAAGAATTTTTAAACTAGTTTAAATAATAGAATAAAGTCTTTTATGCTTCATTATAACTCATTTACCATGCCTCCCTGTTAGAATGAACTCTGATTTGAAGACAAAAGATGAAACCCACACATGTTATTACTCTGTTCTTAAGATCACTCCTGAATTTAAAAGGGTCTCATTTATTCTAGAAGCATTCAAAAGCTTGATCATTCACCACTGTGTATCTGTGCTTATTAGCTCAGGTTTAAGCAGTATAATTGTCTGATTCCACCTGACATGCCAGGAGCTTTGACTCACTCTCTACACCCCAGGTTGATAATACCTCGTAGCGGGACAGTCACTCAAAGGAATCCAATTCAGTCAAGGGCCTCAGAAAGGGCAGGATGACCCAATGTCAAGGCCCCACTGTTTGGACAAACTGCAGGGGGAGGTCAGGAAGGGAGGGAGAAAATTCCAACACACACTTACCTTTCGTAACCTTAGACCAAGAACAATGGATCTTGTGCACAGAATAAGAGATGCCAAGCAAATCACAATGACAAATGCATCAAACACCAGGACATACTGAGTATTTTTCTGAACTGAGAAATGAAAACAGAATTCAAACGTCAAACACACCTTACTTGGGAATAATTTACAAACAAGATGGCAGCTGGAAAATAAGATCAAATGATAAACGCTTCAACATCAGAAACAAATCACACTGCACTCATTCAGAGGTTCACAAACAAGGTAATCATTCCCTGATGTCGAGTTATACATTTAAAAACATATAAATTCTTAAGAGATGTACTAAAGTGTATTCATAAATATTTATTATAGAGTGGAATTCAGTAGAAGGTGGTCCATTTGGGCTCCATTCAAAAGAGGCAAAACTACTGACATACTCTGAGTTCTTTCACATGAAAACAAACATCAAGTTCTCCATTAATGGGGGAACACACGTTTTAAAGTCCCACCACTCAGAATCCCCATTTCTGCTTCTCAACCTTACTCTGTACTTTCCCAGCAAAGAGTGCCAGTTCAATACGCTTTTTCTGCATGTGGGAAAAATCACTTCTCAGAATGAAAGTAAGGAGAGTAGTAATCAGATTTGTGCCTTGGAACACAGTAACACAGGGAAGGTACTGGAAGAAGATGAAACTGTACCCTTCGCTTCTCTCAGACTTCATGGTATTGTCCCAAATCCCAACCACGGCTCTCCCCTGCCCGGCCCCTGCTCATCCCCTGTGGTCTCATCAGCTGCCGCCTGCTGCTTTCTCCCGGCCCCCACCTTTCCCACCCTGAGGCCACTCTCTTCCTCCTTCCCTGCTCCTACCAGGCGCTGGAGCTCTCTACCTCCCTCTCTCCTCTCTCTCTCTCTTGCCTCAGGGACTTTGCACATGCTGATCCCTCTGCCTGGAACAGCACCCCTCCCCATCACACATGGGGATTATTCAGCCTTGGGTTTCAGACTGAGTATCTTCCTCCCCAGAACAGAACAGGACAATTCCCTAAATTCCCATCCCCATCAGCCCTCCCCCCAATACCCTATCGTAGCCCTGTCCATAAGTATACACACCTATATCTCCATTTACTCCCCTCTGCTTGATGGTCACTGAATTTATAGTTGTGTTTTCAAAGACAGCACAGCAAGGAGCACAGAGACCGTGTGAAATGAAAAAGGACACGGTCTCTGGAGCCTGAGACCTGGGTCTGAATCTCCGCCCTGCACTCAGAAGCTGTGGAGCCTTGGGGAAGTTGCCTCAGTTTCCTCATCTAAAAAATGGGTAGAATGAAAAGAATACCTATATTATAGGGCTGTTGTGAGGGTTAAATAAGTTCACACATGAAAGCACTTGGAGCAGCCCCATGCACACAAGAACAGCAAACTCAGTGGTTATTATATCATTCAATGTCCATCTCCCCCCAGACATGATTGGCTCTGGGAGGCAGGGACTGGGTGTGTTTTATTCAGCATGACAGTGCCTGTGCTTATGTGTGTCCCCATAATGCTTCAGTACGCTTACAGGTAAGTGCAGAGACCCCAGCAGAGCACGGGAAGACCACCGAATAATCTAAGTCAGAACTCTTGAAGGTCTGAGCGAAGTTAGAGGCAGAGAAGGCACACAAAGATAAGGCACAAAGTGGCGAAAGATGAAGAACAGAGACTCGACCTGGTCTTTAATGGGACTTAGGGAGTAAGGAAGGACTGACCAAGAATGACTCCTTTTCTGTCTTGGGTCAACTAAGCTCAGTCTGGACATTCATGACAAGAGGGGACAACTTGATGGCAGCTGAAACCATGGGTGTGGACACAGCCACTCAGAGAGATGACAGAGCGGAATGCAGACTAAGAAGGATGGGAAGGCGGGGGTGGCAATGTTTGGGAATTAGGAGAGGAGATGCACTCAGGAACCAGACGGCGAAAGGCCAGGGTAGAAGGAAGCAGCGCTGGGGACAGGCAACCTTCAGGAGAGTCTAAAGTCAGGGTGTTCCACAGCGACACCTCCGCAGAGAAGGCATTTAAGAGAAAGATGGGAGTGTGTCCACGGATTTAGAAATAACAGCGGAGTGAATGACCATGGCACGGGTGTCTGAGGGCAGCTCATCCTAACCATAAATGGGTTAGGAGCATGGCCAGCAAGTAAATGTAACTCACTGAGCGAGTTATTTAGCCTTGCTAAGCTTCAGATGCCTCGGGTACCAAATGGGAGCACAGCTGTACCAGCTTCACACGCTGTCAGGAAATCAGGTCAAACAATCCCTGTTGGGCACTTGTCAGTGCCTCGTACGGAGCACTTACCTCCACCTTTGGCCATTTTGTCCTTCACAAGTTTAAGTTATCTGGAGATACCATCTAATGGGTAGGTAAGAAAACAACCTGACCAAAACCCAAGACCATTTTTGGGGGGAGGAGCCATGGAATGAGGCAGAGGAAAGAGGGGCAGCTCTTGGGAAGATGGGACCACAATCTTAAAAAAATGCAAGAACAGCCTCGAGTACCTTCCTTTCTGACCTATAACTAGAACAAAATTTCTAAGATTACTTGAATTGGGCCTTATTTACAGATGGGAAAACTGAGGCCCAGAACTAGAAAGATAAACCATCCCTCCTAACAGAGAAATCAGTATTGTATTGTTTCAGTTTGATTTATTGAGATTAGTTTGATGTGGCTACAAAAAGTATCTTATAAACATCAAAATTGCTTTCTTCTTCTACTGAAATTATGTTATTCTCACAGGAACAGTTCCTAAACCTGGGTTTGTATAACACTAGTCCAGAGAGATGCCTCTGGAAATGTGGTTAAGAAAATCCTACCCTACCCAGTCCTTGCAGGGGCCTGAGAAGTCCCACACACACCACCACTGCCGCCTGTGTGTCCCTAACCAGGGCTTCCCACACTTACTAAACCCCACTTCCCTGGGACATACGTTTACATCACCCATCAGTGGGAGTCCTGTCCATCAGTACCTACCTCCTCCAGCTCCCATGCCCAAATGGCTACATTTATAAAATCAAGTTAATGTGAGGATTAGTGGCACACTGGGCATGGGTATTAGAAGTCAGAAAAGGCAACTTCGGGTTTGTATGTAAAAATGCGCACTCCCTTATATTTCAGCTTGAGATAACACAGGTAATGACGAGAAGGAGAGAGAAGATTCAGGGTAAGCACATGGATGTGAATGAACCTCAGAATGTTTTGCAAATAGCACAGGGATCCCACCAGCTGTCACCCTTGCCTTTGTTCTACTCCCCCAGAGCCAGGGCAATCAATCCACCAGACAGCTTCCTATACAAGAAAAAAAAATCCATTTCCTAAGCTGGTTTCCAAACTTCAGCTTTTTAAGACTTGTCACATCATCTTAAATTTGTGCTCTCCCAGTGATGCCGCAGCCCTGGGAGAATCATATATAAAAGTCAGTGCTTCTAGCTGTGAGATTGTGTTTCTCCTCACTGGCCACAGGAGGGAGCCAGAGCGCCTCTCTTCTGAGCAAAGGCGAGGACAGCTCCCCAATATTATAAGGACGCCCGTGGAGAGGAAGGAAACCTTGTCCTGGAAAAGGTGTTTGACTGACTAACTTATTTGGGCAAATGACTATACCAGACCACATTTCCTATTTGACAAGGGTTAGCTTTAATCACATAAAATGGCTGCAGCCTACACTCGGACTTGGAAGACACGTGTCTGACCTGCGCGTTTCTGCTGGGGAGAGTGTGTCTGCTGAGGAAGAGTACCCACTTTTAAACAGAAACTAAAACTGTGTACTCTGATGAGAGGCTGGAGTCAGCTAATGGGACTAAAGAGCCACAACTTCAGCGGGTTTCCCTAGTGGCGCAGTGGTTGAGAGTCCGCCTACCGATGCAGGGAACACGGGTTCGTGCCCCGGTCCGGGAAGATTTCACATGCCGCGGAGCGGCTGAGCCTGCGCGTCCGGAGCCTGTGCCCCGCAACGGGAGAGGCCACAACAGTGAGAGGCCCGCGTACCGCAAAAAAAAAAAAAAAAAAAAAAAAAAAGCCAACACTTTAAAATCATCAGGACATATTATGCAACCGAAAAGCAACAGGCCACAAACTGAGTCTAATTTAAAACTAATATAAAATAGTTAGGAACCACAGATATTTTGCATTTTATTTTGTTCTTATAATCTGGTCAAAGACAGGTTCAGTTAAACAAAACTTGTAAATGCAAGAATACTGATCACCCATCATTAACATCATCCCAACCCCCGCAGTGAGAATGGGGTCTGGGTAGCCCACTTTAGTCTGTGGATCAAGAGGTATTTCCTGAGTAATGACTGAGTAAATGACCCAGGTTTGTCCAGGCTGCTCTCTGGGCTCTGAAGGCCTTGATCCCACTCCACTGTCACAGGCTCAGATCAAATCATACCTTCTCCAAGAAGCATTGCTGGACTCTATGTCTCACTCTGTCCCCATCAAAACGAACCTTTGCTTTCTTGATCCTCATATCTTCTGTGCCTCCACCACTTACTCCTAGTCAGGACACGCTAGAGATTTTATAAGCATGCCAGTGCTCCTCACGAAGGCGCTCTTTTCCAGAGCGCCTACAAATACTGTGTGCCAACTGTTGTTCTCAGGGCTCTGCTTTACATACTCATTTAATACTCAACATGCTGGAAGGTAAGTACTATTATTACCTTCATTTTGCGGAGAAGGACCCTGAGACACAGAGAGGTTAAGCAATGTGTCCAAGATCACAGGCACAGGAAACAGAACCAAAACTCGAACCCAGGTAGTCTGGCTCCAGAAACTGCTCTTAACTGCTGGGCCACACGACCTCTCCTACAAGGTCTGTAATCAACATTTGCTGAATTGAACAAAAATGCAAAGCTTTGGGGTATGCTTAACAGAAGCGAATGCTCAAAATGTGGTTTTTTTGGAGCCCTTTTTTCTTATCATCATCCAAATAAACCATTTATATACCCCAAATCCCAAAATGAAGTGATAAAAATCTTCCATAATCCACAATGGGCAAGCATATAACATACTTACTAGATCCGGAGATGTTCAAGTCTTTACATTCCTCAATGTTAGCGTCACTGTCAAAGTAGATTTTGATTTTGCCACTGTGAGCTTTATTGTCAAAGATAATCTGGAGACACAAATTGATGAAGAGGTTACGGCCCAGCAGAAAGTATGACTGGTTAGATCAATTCTGCTTAAAATATCAATGGCATCCAGATAGCGTGCTGATCCAAAGAGAGTTAGACTGATGAAAATGTCCTCATCACACGATTCCTTCACAACTTCCTATAATTAATGAAAAAATGTGGTCCAAAGGGGGAATACATGAAATTCTACTAACAGCACATTCGGATTCAGAGAAATTCTAAAGCAAAACAGCCAACCAGTCCAAAGAACAAAAATGAGAATTCACCACCAATTTTTGACAAGAGAACACAAAGACCTCATTTATTACACTGAATGGAATTTACAAGCATTTGCCTTAATTTAGTCCTTTGGGTATGAAACTCTAGATTTTCACTAGGCTAGAAATTATTTTTCTATTTGCTTCAAACGCTATATATATGTTTTCAGAAGTGCTGTATACATGTGCTTTCAGAAGTGGCAAAGATTGCTCCAGGGTTATGGGTTGAATTTAAGATTTCCAAATGCCCTCAATCTTCCACATTATGTTTCAAGCATTTAAAGTTTATAAGTGAAATATGCAGCGTATTTTAGGGGCTTTCCTGGGGGAAAATGAGGCCTTGAATGCCAGGGCTAGTGAAGTTTGGTCCTAGCTCATAGGTATAGAAATGAGGTCTGTATAGCTTAATTCTCGAATCTCTGGTTTGGTCATAACGATATTCTTAAATTACACTGAGAATGTGTAATGTGCACATGGCTTGTGCTCAAAGATGTTCAGGCACCTGTGGGTTTAATCATAGATCACATACACGTTCAGCTCTCCAAGCTTTGCCTTGCCTTGGATTTCATAATGCGTTTTGTAATGTGTGGGTCACCCCAGGGAGATTAATCATGCTACTCTCTGGGGAAGACATTCTTCCTTACTAACTGTCACAATTTATAATTAATTTTTTTGTTGACTTGTTTTTCTATCTCTTCCACTAGGCTGTAAGCTTCCTGAGGGCCATGGTACCTCCAGAGCATGGCAACCTGCCTGCTGCCTCGTAGGGATTCATTGAGCATTCAGCAATTATTGTTGAATGAAGCATGCTTCTGAATTGCTAAAACAGCAGCTACATATAACGTCCAACTGAGCATTCAGTTCTGCCCATCAAGAAACATGAAAGAAGGAAGGGAGGGAGAGAAGAAGGGAGTAAGGAAGGGAGGGAGAGAGGGAGGGAGGGAGGGAGGGAGGAAGGAAGGAAGGGAGGGAGGAAGGAAGTCCATGGCACATGACTGCCCCTCCCCAAATAAAAGCTGCAGCAATTGATGCTTTGCAGATTAGCCTTCAGACCAAGGGGGCACTTTCTGCCTTGAGGTTTGAAAACATTTGCTACAACATTTGCAAAGACCTTCCTTCGAAGGTGGGAAAAACATTATACGCACTTAAAACACAGGTCATAAGCTATTTTTAAAAATGTATTCGGAGAGCAGGAAGTCAAGGTTCACTTTGAAAACTCTTTTCAACCCAAAAATCTAGTTTTAAAAAGTTGGAATGGGCTTGTATCATTTTTAGAAGTCACGGCCTCTGGACCAATGATGCTGTAAAGTGGCATTAAAACTGTTTTAAACACAACTGCATCAAACACATCTATAGGCGGATGTGCTTTGCACTCTGCACCTACAAAAGGAGTAGAGAAAAATGATTAAATGGCTTAGTAAAATAGACACTTGCCGTATTCTGAAAGATGTAACAGTCTGGTAGCTCTCGGGAATGAATCGTCTGCAGGTCAATGCCTTTGAGATGAAAGGAGATTTCAACTTGCAAGAGGCTGAGTAGAAAATATTACAAGGTATAAATTGCCACAGTCTTCCTACCCTACTCTCCTTTCCCCATCTGCGTCTCCTGGGCAATGAGACTTTAAGGCATATTTACCGATAAAATGCCAGTCTGAAGAATGATGAGTTCTTCCAGTCCTGAGGGTTCTTGGAGAGGGTCTGGAGGTCTAGGTGAATGCAGTCTAGGGCCATGAAAAAACCACAGTGACTGCCAGGCAAGAATCAGATGCTAAAACCAGTGGGCCGAAGTGTGATGAGAGCAGAAGACTCAACAAGTTCCAAAGCATCTCTCCACAGAATACTTATTAATCACAACAGGGAGACCAGTAACTTTACAGTGGGGAACCTGGCAGATCCCACCCTAGCCACGTGATCAAAGTTAACATCACCAGGATTGAGATAAAGAGACATCATGCGCCTCCTGAAATAACGTACCATTTGTGTGGTATTTCTGCCCCAAATGTGTAACCTCAATCTAGGCACAAAGAAACAGGAAAACTAGGGGCTTCCCTGGTGGCACAGTGGTTAAGAATCCGCCTGCCAATGTAGGCGACATGGGCTCGACCCCTGGTCTGGGAAGATCCCACATGCCATGGAGCAACTAAGCCCGTGCGCCACAACTACTGAAGCCTTCATGCCTAGAGCCTGTGCTCCGCAGCAAAGAGAAGCCACGGCAATGAGAAGCCCGCACACCACAACGAAGAGTAGCCCCCTGCTCGCCGCAACTAGAGAAAGCCCGAGCACAGCAATGAAGACCCAATGCAGCCAAAAATAAAAATAAATAAATAAATGTATTTAAAAATAAAAACAGGGGGGGACTTCCCTGGTGGCACAGTGGTTAAGAATCCACCTGCCAATGCAGGGGACACAGGTTCGAGCTCTCGCCCAGGAAGATCCCACATGCCGCGGAGCAACTAAGCCCGTGAGCCACAACTACTGCACCTGCACTCTAGAGCCTGTGAGCCACAACTACTGAGCCCACGTGCCACAACTACTGAAGCCTGCGCGCCTAGAACCTGTGCTCTGCAACGAGAAGCCACCGCAATGAGAAGCCCACGCACCGCAACGAAGAGTAGCCCCCGCTCGCCGCAACTAGAGAAAGCCCACGTGCAGCAACGAAGACCCAGCACAGCCAAAAATAAATTAATTAATTTAAAAGAACAACAACAACAAAAAACAGGGCTTCCCTGGTGGCGCGGTGGTTGGGAGTCCGCCTGCCGATGCAGGGGACACGGGTTCGTGTGGGCCATGGCCGCTGAGCCTGCATGTCCGGAGCCTGTGCTCCGCAATGGGAGGGGCCACAACAGTGAGAGGCCCGTGTACAGCAAAAAAAAAAAAAAAACAGGAAAACTCAAGGGAAGGACATTCTACTCTTTAAAAAAGTCAAGGTCGTTAAAAAAAAAAAAAAAAAAAAAGCCAAGAACTCAATTTTTCTCCAGATTATAGGAGACTAAAAATACATGACAACTAAATGCAATATGTGATCTTGGACCAGGGAGGTTAGGCATGGCTTTTGCTGTAGATAATGTTAGGGCAATTGATGAAATATGAATAGGGTCTGTAGACTATAGTATCACATCCACGTTAACTCATGCTTTTGAGCACTGTTCGGTGGTTATGAGGAGCATGTCCTTGTTTGGGAAGATGCACACAAGTATTTAGAGGTAGGGGCCTTGTGTCTGCACCTTAGTCTCATAGATTTCCGGAGAAATTTTTTTATGTAGGAAGAATGATAAAGCAAATGTGGTAAAATGTTAGCATTTGGGAAAGTTAGATGAAAGGTATACAAGGACATCTTTGTGCTATTTGGCAACTTTTCTGTTTAGTCCGATACTTTTCCAAAAAAAAAAAAAATTAAGAGAAAGAAAGGAACTTAGACTGTATTCAAATAAAAATAAATTATGAGCTGTAAACTATAAAAGAATGATTCCAAGAGCCACACATAAAAATTAGTCTCATTACTGTGTAGCCTAACACCTTGGCAGGAAACCGAGGAGGTCTGGAGACAATGAACACCTTTCATGGTCAACGCCCTTCAAGGTCACTCAGCCCTGATGCCAGAACTGGTGTGAACCAGCCTGGCTGACTCTCACCTGGGCTGCTGCTGCCCCATTTGTGCTGCCTCAAGAATGGAAAAGTCAGGGCCTCCTGCAGTGCCCGACACTCAGTAGGTGCTTGAGAACCCGGGTAGGCCCTATGGCTTGTTCTCTGAGAATCTTCTCTCACAATTTGACTCTTTATTTGCTTATCTATCTCCTCAACTAGCAGATAAGGTCCTTGAGGGCAAGGGCACAACTGCTGTGGCTGTTGAACACCCATTGCCTAGTATATAGGACACTCAAAATATGGAAGACACACTTACATTTTATGACAATCAGGCATCCTGGGCCAAAAACAAGGACATGGAGCTGAGCGGACAGCTCAACAGCCACAATATTTAAGAAAGGCAGGTGTCAGAGTGGGTGTGCCTCCCTGTGTTTGGCAAATGGACCATTAGTATCAAGAAACAATTCAATGTTGGTTTTCCTGACTGGGCCTTGATTGATACAGTGAGGGCAGTTGATCAAAAGAAGCTTTTTTTTATAGGAAACTAAAGATAGGATGATAAAGATAGCAAAAACATACAGGGACTTACTCTCTGCCAGGCACTGTGCTCGGGGATTTATAGGTTCTCTCATTTAACGCATCATCCTGTTTAACCCCCGAAGCAACCTTGTGAGAGATACACTATTGTTGCCATTTTACAGATGGACAAACCAAGGCACAGAGAGGCCAAGAAACTTCCTCAAGGTCACACAGCTAGCCGGTGGCCAACCAGAATTTAAATCCACATGTGCTCAGTTCCAGAGCCTGAGCTCTTCACCAGTACGCTGATGGGGCTGACCTCTGAGTACCTATTTCGGAAACTCAAAAGGCCCAGGCTCCCTACCTGACTCATTCACTTATTCAGTAAATATTTACTGAAAGCTTTCAGGGACCAGGCATTGTGCCAGGCACTGAAGGTAGAGCAATGAACGACACAGACGAGGTCTGTATGGAGCTCACACTGTAGTGGGGGAGATAAACCAAGAGTGAAAAAATATACACAAGACAATTTCACGGTGTGCACAGTACTGCCAAGACACAGTGAAGTGATGGAGGTGAAGTGGGTGGGGAGGCCCTACCTGAGGAGAACTGTTGGGAAGGGCTCTGAGGCACTGGGGCTGTTTAAACCGACACCTGAGGGAGGAAGGAGACCCAGCTGAGCACAGATCCAGGGGGAGCGCTCCGGGCAGGACAAAAGTGAGCACTAAGTCCCAGGCAAGAAAGAGCCTGACTTGTTCAACAAACAGCAAGGAGGCAGGACCAGGGAAGCGGGGGCTTGGAGAGGCAGGCGGGTGGTCGGTCCTACAGGGACTTGTGGGTTTTATTCTAAAAAGATGGGAAGCCACTCGTGGTTTTTAGGCCAGGGAATGAGATGCCCCAATTTAGCCAATTTTTAAAAAAATATCATTCTGGTTGCTGAGGGGCAGGGCAGGGGGTGGAGACCAGCCCAAGCAAGAGTGGCAGCGGCTTGGACTACAGAGGTGGCGATGGAAATGGAGAAACCAACACATTCAAGTTTGGGGCTTGAGCAACTGGGAATATGATGGCATGATGTGAAAATGTTGGTTTCGTTTTCTGAGATGGGCAAGAGTAGAAAGAAACAGGTTGAGCCAGGGGTGGGGGCTGGAGGAGGCTTGAGATGTTCTGTTTTGGACACAGCAGGTTTGAAATCCCTATTAGAGTCACAGCGGGGTTGTCAAGTGGCCTGTCAAGCAGCCGGCTGAATGGAGGAGGAGTCTGGAACTCAGGGAGGAACTGAGCTCAGAGATGGGAATTTGGGTGCAGAGAGAGGGAGGCGACTTCGCAGAGGTGAAAGGGGTGGGCCCTGGTGCTGTGGGAGGCCTTTGGCCGCGGCCACGCCTCTGCAGCACCGGGCTGACGGGAAGCCTGCTGGAGGTGCTGTGGGTGGAGGTTTGCAGATGTGTGGCAGTGTGAGCGTGTTCTGCTCTGGCCCGTTTCTCCAGGAGGTATCAGCAGCTGGGGCACCGGGGCTCGGCCACAAAGGACGCTGGTGACGGCTGGCAGGATCCAGGTGAGAAATCCAGGTGAGAGGCAAGCGCCCAAACCACTTCTGTAAGGGAGTGATACTGATGGACAGAGGTGTCCAAGCTGGTACAGGGGGCACTGAAGGCTGATGGTGATGGACAGTATAAAATGTGTGAAGCTGGTAAAAGAGAGGTCTGTACAAAGTCAAAGACCGCAGCTGCAGAGTACTGAGCCGGCGCTTCCCAAGCTTAATGTGCGTATATGTCATTCAGGGATCTCGTTAAGATGCAAATTTGGATTCTGCAGGTCTAGGGGGGGCCTGGAGATTCTGCATGTTTCACAGGCTCCTGCGTGATGCCCATGTTACCGGGTTTAGAGTAGCAAAGACCCATGGTCACTAAATCACTGCATTACCTTGGCCTAGTCACCAAGCTTGACTGAACATCAGTTTCCTCAACTGTAAAGTGAAGGCCAAACTGAGTCTATTTAGGGCCCTTCTACCTTCAACATTCTTATTCTAAAGTAAAGGAAAAGGAAAAAATAATATTTAAATTAAACTTATCTGGGTAAATGACTGTATTCTGAAAGAAGGAGGAATATGTTAAAAATCTGTGTGCCAGATACTGTCCTAGGTCTTTTTCTCCTGTATTTCATTCATTCTAAGACATTAATTCACTTCGCTGTACAGTATAAACTAACACAATATGGTAAAGCAACTATACGCCAATAAAAAAATTTTTTTTAATGAAAAAAGACATTTTTTTCACTTTCAAATGTTTATAAAAGAGGTGAGTTTTCTAAAAATTGATGACGGATTCAGAGAAATATGACAGCACATGTTAGCTAATGTTACACTATCTGTAAAATTTGCCTTATAAAAGTCTATTTGATTATTCAGATTCTGTAATTGTAATAGAAGAACTACACTTTAGCTACATGCACATTCAGAACTCTCTGGAGTCTGCCATACCTCATGCTACAGTCATTGCTAATGAGGCCACCAAGCACCTGGTGGCAGCAAAACCTAAGAACTGAGATTTTTTTTTAAAGAATGGCAAAAGCCCTGAGTAAAACATCAAACCTCAAACAGAACAAACTGATCATTGGAGTAGCAGCCTCATCACTCAAATGAATCTCATTTACAAGGCAGAACACTCCAGCAAATGAAATAACAACCCTCTCAGAGACAAAGGGAGGGTGGATTCAATATGTTCTTAAAATGACCGGTAAAATGATGAAATGGTCATAATGTTTCATGCTAAGAATATGTGGAAAGGAGAGGATAAGAAATTCAAAATCTGCATTATAGAAAGTGAAACACTGTATTGGAATGATATCCATCTAAATGTGGTAAAAAAAAATTTTTTTAACAGGATTCATTACAGTACCCCCAGTGAAGCTGAACTGTAAAGCTATAGGTCTAGAGGCAGGGACAGAGGGATATGCCCTCAGCATGAATTAGCTTGAACTGTACAATCAGTCGTGCAGCTAAACATAAACCCACCAGGAAAGCAGCACACAGGCAGATCTCTGCACTGAGCACACTGAAGGATGCTTCTCTTAATCATAAAGATACTGCAAAATTCATAAATAGGTAATCTAGAATAGCTTCTGCTAATTCACCTATTTAAACTATAATGCCACACCAATGAAGTCAAACTCAATCCCTATTTATACCGTCTGCAGGCTTCCTCCAATGTGTCCAAGACAAGAAAGTCTAAAATCCAGTATCAAGCATTTTTAAGATTATTTTTTACACCTTTTGAATAGATACATCAAAAAGTTCTCTTTGATAAGTTATATTTAATTTAATAAGTCAAAAAATATAATTAGCTTGCTTCAACAGTCTCTCTTAAAATAAAGTCAAATTAATAGTCAACTTCTCTCCATTTGGTTAAAAATATTCCATATGATGGAAGGGAAATGACCGAGGACACCACTGTCCAATGGTCAGGGAATAAATCCTGCTTTCTGCTCTGTCTCGCCTAGCCACTGATACTGACTTTGGCCACATTTCTTTAATCAATTTTCCAAGAAAAATCAGTTGAGGGAAACAACATATGAATCACTGGAAAATAGTCGTATGATTCATCCAATTAAGGCTCACATTTTTAAGAGGACAAGTGGTCATGGCTCATTTGGAGCAGAGGGTCAGTGCACAAGCTTTCAGCTCCACCTCTCAGTACTCCCAGTTACAGGAACTGCCCACAGCGGGGAGCACAGCTGACAGCACAGGAGAAAGATGCAGGGTGAAACTGGGTCAGCCCCTGCAGACTGACTACCACACAGATCTCAGGATAGCAGAGCCTGCAGGGCAATAAGATAAGGGACATTTCAAGGCTGCTGGCCACAGAACCAAGCTACTGATGGGTCTCGGGAAGCAACCTGGGGACCCTGACAGTGCTGGCTTATGGGCTGTTTCTTTTAGAGTCAAGAGGGTAGGACATATTTACTCATGAAATGATTCTAACAGGTAGCCTGTGGAAAATGAATTAGAACCTTTGTTTTACAGGGATGTTCTTCTATTGTATTACCAAGGCACCTTAAAATCGGGTTATAGGAAATATGGTCAAATGAACTCTGGAGCTCTCTTTTTAATAAAACCACTCCAAATTTACACTGCTACTAGGACCCTGATTTCTGACCTGTTAGCTACTTGAGGAGCCATGACTGGTTAATCTCTGCAACCCCAGTTCATAAAACAGGGAGTGCTTTAGGCGTGATAACTGTACACCAAAGGTTTGTTGAATGAAAGACAAAACCTCCAGAGCCTCAAGTCAAATACTTTGCATTTATATATGGTATGCTTTTAAATTCTTAACAGAATGTCACAAAACAATTCTACTTGATTAGATGTTAACTTTTTGCCAATCTCCAAACAGAGAAAATGAATTATTAATCACAATTCACCTCTGAAGAGCATTAATATATTTAAACAAATGATAAAAGCAAGAGTACCAAGCATTTTAACTCACATTATTGCATTTAACAAATACAGTCTCATTTTTTTTCAAAAAGCCTAATCACCCCCTCACAGAGGGAAAAAAATTAAACAAACAGGAAACACCTGTGCATTTACCCCCAAAACCAAAAATCTTGAGTTGCACCAAAGAGATGCACAAATGTTCCTGGTCCTGTCACAGCAGACCCATAGTTTCCTGAGCCAAAGCCCTTTGCAGGCAAACGTTAAAAGCTCAGATAGGTCAGCCGTCAAAAAAGCAAAGTTGTTTCATTTGGGCTGCCAGCGCACGAGGGTGTTTTTTGCTCTTACCACAGAAGATGATAAAGAAATATAATGAAATTATCACGGTATTACCTATTTCAATGTCGCTGTCGATATTTAGCGTCTCATTAGAAGGAAACATGGTCCCTTTCTTGTAATGCTGCTTACAGACTTTTAATCCAATTCTGTTGTCTTCATTTTCTCCATAACCAAGGGTCCCCAGAGATAAATTCCTTAGCCGATGAAACTATTAAAAATAGTTAAATAAAGACATTTATGAGCTTAACAAGTTTCATCAGAAGTTACAGCACATGGAATATACTTTTAGTTATTTTTTATTGTTGTCTCATATCCCTCAATAGAACTCCCCAATGTAAAACACCACAAGGAAATTTTTGGGGGTTGAGCAGAAACACACGGCATCACAGAACTCGAAACTAAAGTGCAGCCAGAGGCTCCCACCTACTCAGAGCCAAAGTCAAGGTCCTGCCTATCTCTCCGAACTCCCAGCCCACTACTGGCCACTGGCTCCACCCCCCACCCCACCTCCAAAGCCACAATGACCTCCAGGCAGTTCTGGAGCTCTCTAGGCACACTCCTGCCTGGGGCCTTTGCTGTTCCCTCTGCCTAGAAGCCCAGGTATCTATCTGCAAGGTTCACATCTTCAGACCTTGACTCAAATATTACCGCCTCCATGAGGCCTTTCCTTACCACCCAAAGAAAACTGCAAACATCCATCTCCAGTGCACAGGCACCACCAGGCAGTCCAGTCTCCTCCCCTGCTTTATTCCAGTTATCATTTTCAACATACCTCTGAGGACCCAAGCCATCCACACCCACCGCTTACATTAACACAGCTCTACCATCTGCCTATCTGTACTACCAGAGCTTTACTGGCCCCTATCTTCATTAATATGAATTTATTATTCCAGGAAACTTTTGCCCAGGAACATAAAAATTGCAAATAACTGTACTGTTTACTTCCAGGAACATCCCAAAACAGATGATCATTTTTTTTTTTTTGCAGTACGTGGGCCTCTCACTGTCGTGGCCTCTCCCGTTGCGGAGCACAGGCTCCGGACGCGCAGGCTCAGTGGCCATGGCTCACGGGCCCAGCCGCTCCGCGGCATGTGGGGTCTTCCTGGACCGGGGCACGAACCCGCGTCCCCTGCATCGGCAGGCGGACTCTCAACCACTGCGCCACCAGGGAAGCCCACAGATGATCATTTTGAAGATGTAGTCTAATAACTCCCAAGACTCTCTGGACATCCCCCACCAAAACCCTCATCTTGTTAGGCCCACCAATCCTAAACTATTATAGGATGATCTTTACTCAGTTCTTATCCAGCTCCCCTCACACTGAAAGACGTGCCTTAAACCAGACTTCAAAATCTATAGCCAGACTTTGCACTCTACAACCTATGGAGAATGGTCAAGGGACCATCTCTGCTACCACTCTTAGCAGTGAGCTCAGTCTTGCTTCTCAACATGCGTTTTTCTGTTTGTTTGTTTTGGTGGTGTTTTCCAGGAGTCAGCATTCTGTACTATATTTTTCACTTCTTTTCATTTGTCTGGCTCTCCGCTCTAGAATTAAGCTCTATAAAGACAGGAGTTTTGTCTGTTTTATTCATGCTATATCCCCAATGTCTAGAACAGTACCCAGTACATACTCAGTACCCAAATATTTACTGAATGAGTAAATGAATGAATGAATGAATAAGAAAGAATAAGAATTTCTCTCCTTTAAATATTTTCTTCAGGCCTACCAATCTGGTTTCTCAATACTACCTAGACACAAATATTATCATATCCTACTCCATATTCTTAAAGTTCAGCTAGGCTTATTAATGCTAAGAAATCAAAATTGAGATGCTAGAATCTTAGATTTGGTCTCTCATTCATCAAACCTTCTGAGATTATAAGCCTACTTTTAGCTATTTGGCTATTTGATCTGCGGTAACCTCCCAATAGTAGTGGGTAGGAAGGGATAAATACAAACATAAATCTTAAAGAAAAACTTAAAATAGGCAAAATCTATTGTGTGGAAATGTAGCTACGGAAAAAGTAATAAACTTTTTTGGCAGACTATGCAAAACTTAAATCAGAATATGTTAATATATGTATAATATTTTTCTTTGCTAAGACAACAAGGTCAAGGATCAACATATTCTCAAAGTATAGGTAAGTCACAACAAAATACTTGCCTGACTAATAGCAAAAAAGATGCTCTCATAGGTGTCCTCTTGAGTATATACACTGCAACTGTATTCATCTTCATCTACGCCGGAATATCCTTTCAAAAACAAGTGCTTAAAAGCAACAGTGTTTTCTTCTTTGAAAGCAACCACCAGCTGGTTACTTAAACCAAAACGAACGAGCTAGGAAAGAAAATCAAATAGAAGTATATGAATTTTACCATTTACCAGGGGAGGCAAATGCCTTCTTATTATCATGAATCCTCACCTATAAACGTCAGCCAGAAAAATCTCACTGCTTTGGTTTTTACTAATCATATCAATGTCAAAATACAGGAATTCTTTCTCGCCAGAAATAACCTCATCAAGCTAAATCAGCAATTCAAAATAGCATAAAATTAGAAGAAATGAGCACTCCCAGTGACTAACAACCTTAATGGCCTTTGATGACGGAGAAGGAGAAGAGGGAGGAGGAATCCAAATCAGTTACGTCTGAATCCATTTTCCTTTTTCTTTTTTTATAGTTTTGTTATGTTTTTCTTTTCAAAAAAATTTTTATTGAAATATAGTTGATTTACAATGTTGCGATAGCTTCAGATGTATGGCAAAGTGATTCAATTATATATATATATATATTCTTTTTTACATTCTCTTCCATTATGGGTTATTACAAGATATTGAGTACAGTTCCCTGTGCTATACAGTAGGTCCTGGTTGGTTATCTAATTTGAATCTATTTTTCTTATACTTGCATTTCAAATTTATTGTTTTCAAAACTGATGGACATTTGAGCCTTGAACAACGTGGGGGTTAATCCAGGTATAATTTATAGTCCGACCTGCGAATTCAAGGATTCAACCAACCATGGATCGTGGATCATGTAGCATTGTAGTATTTACTACTGAAATACATCCTCGTATAAGTGAACCTGTGTGGTTCCAACCCGCTATGTTCAAGGGTCAAGTGTGCTTAGTAAACCACTAATTCACGTGCTTGACTACTACTGGACAGTTAAATCGAAATGATTTCACATTTAGAAACTGTAAGTATTTTAAAAAATCATAACAATGTTTTGCACGTGGCTTTTTTTTTTTTTTTTTTTTTTTTTTTTTTTGCGGTACGTGGGCCTCTAACTGTTGTGGCCTCTCCTGTGGCGGAGCATAGCCTCCGGATGCGCAGGCTCAGCGGCCATGGCTCACGGGCCCAGCCGCTCCGCAGCACGTGGGATCTTCCCGGACTGGGGCACGAACCCGCGTCCCCTGCATCGGCAGGCGGACTCTCAACCACCGCGCCACCAGGGAAGCCCTTGCACGTGGCTTTTGAAGAACGTTTTCGAAAAGTGGCCTGTATAGTACTTCCTCCAGCTAAGAGGTAATTGTCGTCAAAGAAATTCAATTCCTCTAGCTCTGCAAGAACTCGTATGAGATTTATACCTAAGAGTTCCTGTCTCCAAGATCTACAGCATCAAAGCACCACAAAGGATAACAGGGGTCACTCCACCTCCATGATGTCGACCCAAACATTGTCACCACGCACCCACCTTCTTGTGATAAAACTCCTACTTATTCCTCCTTATACTGTATCACAGTACAGGGTTAGATGCCAAGGGCTCTCTTCACCAGGAATGAATGTATTCTTTCTGCCCTTAAGTTTTCTTCTTGGAATCCAACAAGTAGGGAAAATTAGCAGGCACTAAATGTTTACCCCCCAAACCCAGGAAATTCCATACACAAACAGCCTCTCTCTCCACTCACACTCAAACTCACACTCTGTCACATACTCTTTCGCACTCACTCTCACACACCCTCTCTCACACGTACACCCTCACATGTGCTCTGCTGCTCTCGTTCTCTCTCCTTCTCACATCAACACACGTACAGACACACACATGCCATGGCAGAAGTCAAACCTTTATAAACCCTGTCCCACATACCCTTCCCCATCTACCCACTTTATCTGCTCATCTGCTTTATAAGACAATGAGAGTCCAGAAAACTTAACCCAAACCTTCACCATGCTAAGTCACCAAAACAATTTGGGACTCTGCTATCATGTGTGAAACCAGCAAGTTCAACAAGATGACCTTGACATTTGTGTTACCTGCTGTCCCTCCATGGTTCAACTACCAGACCTTTCAGATGAAACAAATGTTAATTTGCACATGCAAACTTACATAATTTTTTTAGTGATTTGTATTTTTTTTAATTTATTTAATTTATTTTTATTTTTGGCTGGGTTGGGTCTTCGTTGCTGCATGCGGGCTTTCTCTAGTTGCGGCGAGCGGGGGATTCTCTTCGTTGTGGTGTGCAGCCTTCTCATTGCAAAGGCTTCTCTTCTTGAGGAGCACCGGCTCTAGAGAGCAGGCTCAGTAGCTGTGGCACATGGGCTTAGTTGCTCTGCAGCATGTGGGATCTTCCCAGACCAGGGATCAAACGCTTGTCCCCTGCATTGGCAGGCGGATTCCTAACCACTGCATCACCAGGGAAGTCCCTGTATTTTTTATCTTTTAAATTTTGCCCGACTTTTTAAAAAGGCTAAATAATTAAAAATAGTTACCACTTTTCAGCAATTATCGCACTCCAGGCACTGTACTAACTGCTTTACACGCACTATCTCCCTTACTAACACAACAACCTTATGAAAATGTTAATACTGTTAACCCCACTTTACATATATGGAAACTGAGATTTAGTCTCATTACACTGCCCAAGACACCTAACTAGAATGAAAGCCAGGCCTAAATCCAAAGTCATTTTTATTATGTTACAGGAGTTCCATCTGCTGAAAAATCTGACTTTAGGACTCCTGTTGAAGAATTTAGGTGCCAGCTTTCCAGACCTGCAACTATTGTTTGAGAATGTACATAGATGACTCTTTGGCATCTGAGCCTCACCAGATCACATTCCTCAAATACCAAGTCAAAGGACTGAGCCATTGCTTCACCCAGCTATTCTAAGGAAAATATCAGATAAGAAGTCCCACAACATCCAAACTGTGCTGAAAGCTAAGCAACCAAAGGCTAAAGATTCTTTCAAGCATGTGATGTCTATCAATGGTGCCTGTAGGAACTGCCAGAAAAGGAAAGGTCATGTTGCTTTTCAAAAGCCAAAAAAATAAACCAGGGAAACAATACACACATGATTGTTCAGGGGTTTTATTAAATACTGACATACAAATGAAAAAAAAACTGGTACACACACATGAATCAAGTTCTTCAGTCCAAGTTTACTGAGTGCTTATTCTGTGCCAAGCGGGGATACAAAGTTGGCAAGGTTGACACTGCAAAGTGCTGAATAACAGCTCTTATGTCCTGAGTGCCAGGCACTGTGCCTAAAATTTATAACTTTTATTTCTCACTTAATTTCCCAATACCCTCTGAGGGAGATATTACACTAGACTCCAAAAGGACAGGGATTTTTTTTTTCTTTTTTCCACTACTATGCGCTCAGGAACTGGAATAGTGGCCATCACAATGTCAGAGTCAAATACTGAATCTGTCCATCCCATTTCATACACCTGCAACCTGGAGTCAGATACTTTATCCAGGTTGAAACAGAAAAGAAAAGTGTGAGAGCGGGTATCCAAACCAGGTTTGTTTGACTCACCTGTTCTCTTGACCACATGGCCTACAACCTCTCAAACTGAAATGCTGCCAACTTAACTCTAGAAGTGGGGAATATTAGAGCCACTATTCCCACGCTCCTAGCTAAGCTAAAGAAACCCAAAAAGTGAATGGGGAGTGAATAACTTGACCAAGATAGCAGCATTCAATTTGCTGCTATTTTAAGCTACCACCTTATTTAGACTCAAAGCTCATTACCTCAATTTTGGGAATGAGAGAACATGGAGGTATAATCTCTGCTTGGAACCACCTCCATCTGGCATCAAGAACAGGAAATGTTCTCCATCCTGTTGTTCACAGAACAAGGAAAGATCCCCATGTATGGCCACAAATCAGGTCAGGGGTAGGATTTTCCAAGCATCTCTCAGTAGAGGAGAAAAACCCTGGAGGGGGAGATCAAGGTCCCTTTCCTGCGATGGCAGAATGAAACACCCCCTACAGAGCAAGAGTGAAGAGATGATGGAGGATTGGTAAAATAATTTCATTTTTTAAAAGGGGCTGACAGGGGCTTCCCTGGTGGCGCAGTGGTTGAGAGTCCGCCTGCCGATGCAGGGGACACGGGTTCGTGCCCCGGTCCGGGAGGATCCCACG